TGTTTCGTTGTGAAAGCGAAATTACTTTGTTTGGCCTTCCAAAAGAGGACATGACTAGAAATCAGTGGTTAAGTTGTATTTACAACACTGTTCCAGAACAGTTCAACCCAAATATTCAGATGTGTGCAGCGCATTTTATGGAGGACTGTTTCCTGATCCTGGTAGAGTAGACTACAATGCCGGCTGTTCTGACTCACAGACTGTAAGTACGTTTTTTATATTTAAAGAATTTGCCACTGACGATTCAATCGCGAGTTTTTTTGGGCAGTGTAGAGTAGCGCTTGTTGTTTGGCATTTCTCCGATCACAAATGCAGACATGGTTTTATGTTACGCTCCGGCCGGACAGGGCATCACCATATGGTAAGGGGCGTAACATTTCTGTCACACTCTTGAGGCTTGAATAATTCACTCTTTGGCACGTAAAGGAGGACGTCTCAGATTAACTCCTCTCCTTTATGTTGCAGTCTATAATAGATAAAATAGCATTTGCAGCCTAGATGACAGATATTAACATGCAGGTCAGGAGTTTTACTGTAGTACCACTAATAGCCTGATGTTTGTTGCAGACAGAATGTATTAAAGAGACATGGAAACATTTGTTGTTCTATATTTTGGTCTCTTACTTTTAGTCAGTTTAGACATACTGCTGACAGAATTAAAAAATGTTTTATCCCCCCATTGAAAACAATATTTTCAGAGTTTATTTTGTAGGAAGGTTTATTATGGCATGACAAAAACAATGAATTATCATCTTCCTGTATACTTTCCACCTAAGCACACATTTTTTTTTCTTCCAGCAGGTGTTACAGTATTGTGTTTGTGAAGTGTTGTGGTTTTACGCAAAATATGATTGTGGCTTAATTTTTATTTGATAATATTTTTAAAGGCAAAAACTACATGTGAGTTTTTGTAAAGCTTCTCAGGCATTTTGTATCACTGGGCTGCTACTCTTAGAGCACAATAATAGAGAGCTGAATCTGACAGAGTTACACTCTTAATAGTGAATTCAGTGGATGTTTCTGATGTAATCGACTGAAACCGAGTGTCTGGTATATTTCCATGACTGCTCCATGTCCGGGCACCTTTATACAGTAAATATTCTGGTTCTCTATTAGGATACTGTCTGTACCAGTAGAGATAGACATAATTGCTGCCTGTATCATAAGTGCAGCTCAGTGTTACACGCTCTTCTTCTGTTCTGTAAATAGTAGTTTCCTTGTCTTTCGGTTGAATGCTGTCAGATAAAATACCTGCAAGAGAATTGGAGAGATTTCACAACAGGTCAGCTGGCTTGCCCAAAATTTCATAACATTTTAAAATTAAAATTAAAATAATAAAAACAGTTTCTTCAACAAATGTGATGTCGTTATAGTAATAGGGTAACATTAAAAAATGTTTGCATGGCCAAAACATTTTAATGTACATTATTTTTGAGTCTGCTCAGATTACATGTTTTATACCTGGAGTGGATATTAGAATCAGAAGAAAACATCTCTCCATCTCTCCAAGATTTACTAACTTCATGCTGTAGGCTTTATAAACTGAAGTTTAAAGGTAATTGTGTGATTGTAGTATCTTGTTGTGAAGTTGCAGTGTGGGTGTGGCTTATTTAGACCTCCTTCTTTGTTTTCCATTATTAAAAGCTGAGATGATTGTACCTTCAGTGTATGAATATCTTAAAAATTCTACCTCTTGTTCAATAAGTATCTCCCTCTACTAATTCAGTTTTATCAGCAAGTGCGACTGTGACTATGTTTATTATGTTAATATGAGGATCATTTAAAGCTAAACCAAGTAGAGCCTTTTTGGTAGAGTTTAAATATTCAATATTTGATAGTGAGGTTTGTGCTTGCAGCATGAAATTTGTCCTCTCTGAAATATTTTAATGTACACAGCACCCCCCAGTGGTGGTGTGACAAACATTTATGCTCCCATTGACAACATCTGAGTCTAACCAGGATGATACATTTGTGAATCTGAAAAATATAAAGGATGATAAATGTTGACTTTATTTATTGATATGTTTTCAAATATGACGAAACACCTAAGAACATAGTTATATAGTGATACTCCAGCAATGATCTCATTCAATAATGAGACTTTACTAAATCAAAACATAGAAATACTAACCAGCCAGAAAATGTATAGTTAAATATGAATTAGAATGTAACATTTATGATGTTTGTTGTTTTTGACATCTCATTTTTAGACTATAGAGTCAGTCAGGTTCTTGTATGGTGTGTAGAGTGTTTCCTGTGACTGTGGGCCTCAAAGCACAGTAGTAGAGAGCAGAGTCTGATACTGCAGCAGAGGAGATGATCAGATCCACACTGTTCTCTTCTTTTCTGTGACTGATGGATATTCCAGAAACTGGAGGATTAGCATGAGTAGTTGCTCCATAGTAATCCAGAATGAGGAACTGTGGTGGTGAACCTGCATATTGCCGATACCAGTGAAGACTATCAACAGAACCAGTGTAGTTACAAGAGAGTTTCACACTCTCAGTCTCAGTGGCAAATGCTTCATCACTGTATGGGGTGATGACATCTTTAGCTCTGTTACCTACAACAAAAGCTTATTTAAGCATGTTTAAAATGAGATATTGTTATGTAATGATACATGTAAGATTTTACCTTGAGTTAAAGTCAGCAGTATAAGTACACAAGTGAACATGATGGTAATTGCTGCTTGCATCAGTGATCTGTGATGCTGATTATCACTGAACTAATCTGTTTCACAAGCTGGTGTTAAGCTCCGCCTTTTGGCATAACCCTCTTATAAAGCACAGAAATTGACATATATGATGGATTGATACCTAAATCTGCTTGAATTTGTTATCTTTCAAAGTAATGCCATTTCTCAAATTTTCAGTTACTTAACAGAGGTATGATGTGTTTTTACACAGTTTTATTCAGTTTCCTATCATTGTGGGCGTCAGAGCACATACAGAGCAGAGTCTGTCAGTTTAGCAGTGAAGAAAATCTGACTCACATTGACAGGCAAAGTCAGCTAAATAAATGAGTTACTGAATCACTAGCATGAACAAAGCATTCACTTTTTCAAAGTAATAATTGCTTAATGAAACTTTTATGCTTAATTTCCTTCATCTATTAAGTTAAAGCAGGTGTTACCATATCCTTTTATTCACAGAGGTTTTGTGGCTCACGTAAAGTACAACTGTGGTTTGACTTTCACTTGATCAAATACGGTTCAAAGCAGTTATTTTATGTGTGAGTTTTTGTAAAGCCTCTGAGGCATTTTGTATCACTGGGATCCAACTGCTAGAGCACAGTAATAGAGTGTTGAATCTGACAGAGTTACACTGTCAATAGTGAGTTCAGTGGATGATTCAGATGTAATTGACTGAAACCGAGTGTCTGGTATATCCTCACTGTAGCTCCATGATCGAGCACCTTTACGCAGTAAATATTGAGGTTCTCTGTTTGGAAACTGTCCGTACCAGTAAAGCATAGCATAATTGCTGCTTGTATCATATGTGCAGCTCAGTGTCACAGACTCTCCTTCTCTCCTGATTATATCATCCTT